TCCTCCTCCTCCTCCTCCTCCTCCTCCTCCTCCTCCTGCTCCTCCTCCTGCTGCTCCTCCTCCTCCTCCTCTTCGATGCATTTCCCCCCTGAGCCTGTCGTCCCCTCACGTTGCCCCCGAAGATCCCCCCGCCCTCGGCGTTGTGACGGGCACGCATAGAGGCGTAACCGGGCACGGTGGAGGCCAGTCCACAAGAAATATTCCAGAAGAAACCCAAACCCTGAGAACCCAGGACGTCCAATGTTTTTTGGTGGGAGCGTCACGCCTTCCAACTATCTAACTATCGCAGAACCATCGAAACCCACGAAACCCAAGGCACTCTTGAGGCAAGCAGGGTATTTCTTGGCATGGGTCTACTCTGTAACGTTGCCCCTGAAGATCCCCCCGCCCTCAGCGTGGTGACGGATACAAGTGGCAGCGTGACCCGGTATCTTTTCTTTGGCCCCTGATCCTGGCGCTGCTCCTCTGTTAGGTCTGCCGCCTCCAACTTCTCCTCCATGACGTCCTCCAACAACTTGTCAGCTCGATAGAACTTGGACTCGTCATCGACATCCTTGACCATGAAGTCGTTGAATCTATCTACATGGCCCGAGGCTTTCAGCACCTGATGCTGCATGATGCAGGTGTCCTCCACCTCCAGCAGGTTCTCCTCGATGACGAAGTGCTGACGCCACTGCCTGATGATATTGTTCTTCACCGCGCAGCCTGGGGGCCCATACGTGAAGAATCCGGCGACGCCACCGTAGATGTCGAAGGCGGCGCGGTAGAAAAAACGCCTCTTCACCAGCTCGCCGAGGCTCTTCGACTCGTTCTTGAAGCGGTCTCCGCCCTCGGTCGGGACGCCGGCCCCGAGGGCTGCGGCCTTCGCAGCCCTGTCCGCGGCCTTGGCGGCCGCCTTGTCGGCCTTGTCTGTCTTGTCGGCCTTGCCTCCCCCCGCAGGACCCGCCGCAGGTGCACCGCCAGTCGGGACACCGCTGACGCCACCCTCCCAGGGGCTGTCCCGCCGCAGTTTGTAGTACTTGATGGGCGTCTCCAGGAAGTCGGCCGAGGTCAT